CCTCTCCCACCCTGCCTAGCCCCTGTCCGGTTTCTGTCACTGGACCCGCTGTGCCTCTTCTAGGGCCTCGTCCCAGCGAGTCATCCAGGGTGTACCCTTTTGTGCCTGGCTTCTTTTGTTCGTCATGATGTTTTTGAGGTAAATCCATGCTGTTACATGTTTCAGTATTTTCGCTTTTTATTGCTGAGTAGTGTTGTATGGACACAACCAGTTTATTCATTCACCTGTTGGTGGATATTTGGGGTTATTATGAGTCAAGTTGCTGGGAGCAACTTATTTTCGCCCTTGTATATTTTCATTTTGGGGGTCATTACCCAGAGTGCCTCCAAAGTGGTTGTACCGTTTGACACTCCTGCCAGTAGTGTGTGCGTGCTGCATGTGCTCACACCTCCACCAGCACTCGTCAGCCTTCTTCATCTCAGCCGTTCTCCTGGATACCTGGTGGCATCCTGTTTGCTTTTTGGTAATAGCTTTTTGAGATATAATTCAGACTCCATAGAATTCACCCATTTGAAGTGTACAAACCAGTGATTTTTAGTATTTTCTCAGAGTTGTGCAGCCATCTCCACAATCGATGTACAACATTTGCGTTTCCTCAGAGTGAAGCCTTGTACCCTTCACGTCACCCTCTGTACTCTCCCGCCCAGTCCAAGGAAGCCACCAGTCTACTTCCTGTCTCTGGATTTGCCGATCCTGGATATTTCACAGAAACGGAATCATTCAATATGTGTGTGGTCTTTGTACCTGCCACCTTCTCCTAATGTAATGTTTCCAGGATCCATCCACATTGTAGCTTGTATCAGAAATTCATTTTGTTTCATGATCAATAGTATTTCATTGTATGGATATAGCACATGCCTCCATATCATATGTATGACTGGCCAGCATCTCCTGTTCTGTACGTTGTTGTGACACTTCCTCAACAGTTTTCTTTGAAGCAAAAGGTTTTAATTTTGGTGGAAGTCCAGTTTATTTTTTGTTTCCTGTGCTTTTGGTGTTATTTAAGAAAACATTGCCAAATTCAAGATCATGAAGATTTGCTCCTATGTATATTTTTTAAAGAATTTTATAGTTTTAGCTCTTACATTTAGGTCTCTGATCATTTTGAGTTAGTTTTTGTGTATGGTGTGAGGTAGGGGTCTAATTTCATTTGTTTAATGTTGATACAGTTGTCTTGGCACCACTTGTTGAAAAGATTATTCTTTCCCCAGTGAATTGTCTTGATACCTTTGTCAAAAAACAGCCATAAATATGTGAGGATCTCATCTGGTTTTAATTTGTATTTCCCTGATGACTAGTGCTAAACATCAGATAATATGCTTAGTGACTATTTGTGTATTGTCTTTGGTATAGATCTTTTGCTAATTTTTTAAAAATTGGGTTTTTGTCTTAATATTGAGTTGCAGGCAATAATACCAATTTTTCGGTCAGATGTATATATTGTAAATACTTTCAGTCTGTGATTTACCTTTCATATTCCTTATTGTGTTTTTCAAAGCATGCAAGTTTTTTATTCAGATTTTCATTTTCTTCTTTTGTGCTTTGTGTATTTGATTTCCTATGTGAATATCTTCAAAATCATGAATTTTTCTTTCATTTTCTTGTAGGAGTTTTATACTTTTGTGTTTAGTTCTGTGATCTATTTTGAGTAATTTTGTGTGTGTGTATATGTATAGTTTAAGATAAGATCCAAAGCATTTGTCTCTACAACAATGACATTTACTCACTCAAAGTGTTTTTGAGTCCTTCCTCTTGGCCAGGCTTTGGGGTTACATTGTACCTAGACAGGCATATTGCCTCACCTTCATGGGACTAACATGCTTTCTCATGAAGAAACGCACTTGAGAAGGGCAGGAGGAAGGAGCCGGTCCTTCCTGCAGTCATGGCAGCTGAGCTGGGAGAAGCAGAGCCGGGAGGGGCCCTCATGCATTCTGGGATCAGCAGGTAAGGCCTCCTGAGTCAGGACAGTGCCATTGTGTCTGGGGTCTGAAAGCGTCAGGGGCTGGAATCCAGTGAGGGGAAGTGTTGAGCGAGGGGAAGTGTTAAGCGGGGCTCCTTCGGGACCACGGTGAGGGATTTGAATGTTCTGTGTACCTCCGTCTTTGTCCTCAGTATGTCCTCGAAGCATCGGACCTACGTGTGCGATTGCCTGCTTGATGAAGCTACTTGGCTGAGTCACAGCACCTAGGTTTGCATAGGTCCCGCCCTGAACTTGCTGTCATTTCTGCTTCTAAACTTCTTTTCCTGGCTTGGTTTATGGTGCCATTGAGTCAGGATACATAGTTACCTGTTATTGTGAAGAGCTCCCCCCCCCTCCTCCCCACCCCCCAGCAAAGAGAAAATCACGCTTCTGTGAAAACAGTGGTCCCTCTTAACCAGGCTCATAGTCGCGCAGCGGGCACGCTTTTGCACCTGCTTTCTTTAGCTCAGCGTTATACTGGTGAGGTTCATTCGTGGCTTTCACTTGGGGATCAGTGTACTGTCACTGCTGTCTGAACACACCCAATTAAGTTGTCCATTTCCCTGTTGGTGAACCTTAGGGGTGTTCCCTGCATTAGACTCTCCCAAACACTACTCGCTGCCGGGGTCTCCTGGCGCCCGTTCCCCCACCCTCCACCCCTTGCCTCTGGCAGCCACCCAGCTGTTCTCTGCATCTGTGAGCTTGTTCTACACATGCACACTTTTTTAGATTCCACATATAAGAGAGATCATACCATACAGTAGTCCCTACTTATCCACGGGGGATACATTCCAAGACCACCCCCCCCCCAGTGGATTCCTGAAACCACAGATAGTTCCGAACCCTTTATATACCATACATTTTCCTATACATACGAGTACATACCAGTGATGAAGTGTAATTGATAAATTAGGCATAATAGGAGATTAACGACAGTAACTAATAATAAAATAGAACCGTTGTAACAGCGTGCTGTAATGAAAGTTCCAGGAATGTAGTCACTCTTTTTGGGGGTCCCTCGCTGAAGTCTTCGTATGATCTCAGTGCTTCCTGATGGAGCATGTTGTCATCAGTGGGAACACGTTTTTCTGTTCCTGCCTTCCACTCACAAAGTTAAAGACTTTTTTATCTTCATGAAATACTTATCATGCATGCACCGTGATCTTAACTTTTGCAGTTTGAGATGCAGTAGCAAAACTAGGTACGGGTTTCTTTCTCCTTCACAATTTCACAGGTAGAAGATTTCGTTCTTACCGTAGGTCTTAGCCACCGCAGCATATGATTATTTTTCTTTCTGTGTTAAGTCAACTTTCACCTTTTCACTGAAAGGGAGTACTTGACAGCGTCTCTGTGGCATGTCCAAATCGCCAGCATCACGACTCTTGTTCTTTGGGGCCATTACTAAGTAAACTAAGGGTGACTTGAACCCAAGCACTGGGACACCTCGGCAGCTGGTCTGATTGCCGAGGAGGCTACTGGGTGACTGACGGGCGGGCTGGGAGACAACGGACTAAGCGAAGAGTCCCGTGGTAACTGAAAGCGTGGGAAAGCGAAACCTCGGATAAGGGGGGCCTACGGTATGTGTCTTCTCTGTCTGACTTGTTTTACTTAGCATAATACCCTCAAGGTCCACCCGTGATGTCACAAATGGCGAGATTTTTTTTAAGGCTGAGTATTCCATTGTGTACAGACTATCACAGTTTCTTCATTTATTCACTGATGGACACTTAGGGTGTTTCCGTGTCTTGACTGCTGTGAGCAGTGCTGCATCATGCCTACTTATAGGGGACAGTTGCATTGTCACCTGCTTCTGCTGTCAAGGCGTTGGACAGCACATGTCATTCAGCTTTAACTCTGTTGTATCCTCAAGAGAACGAGAAACGAAAAGCAAATAATGTCTTCATATTGTGATAACAGTTTCGACCCCACATGCCCTCCAAGGGTCTCGGGCCCCAGGGTCTGTGGACCACACTTCGGGAGTCCTTTCACTTCCCAAGAGACAGCACGGTTGTCAGGTTACGATCACGGTTGTGATCTTCCTGAGTTGTTTTAAAATGAGGACTACTTCACCATTTTGTATATACCACACAATACCATACACGGACGTTCCAGAAATTTCCTTTCGTTCTTAATGTATTTCAGAGAGCTTTCTGTATCAATATGGACATATGTGCCCCTTTCTTTTTTCACTGTATTTTAGTTGTATTTTCAAATAGTATTTGCATACCTGAGCGGTGATAGTCTTCTGAAATATAGTCAGATGTGTTTAAGGGCTGTACTTTTAAAAGACTTTGGACAGACGAGTTGAGGTTCTATAAACATGGTAGCAGATTTTTGACCTGGGTTGGGAGGGGTGAGTAAACTGATTTGAGATGAATGTTTCAGTAATAGGAATGAATTAGAAGAGGAGAAACAGAGAGGAGAACATGTAGGAAATCAGTGTGACTGTTAAGAGTTGAGTGACTGCTTAGAAGTCGGCCATCGTCGGGGTTTCCGAGCTTGGGGGGGGGGGACGGATGTGACAGTGCACTGTCGTGGGGGGATGAGCACCTGGGGCGGCCCGCCTGGCGCTCTGGGCTGATGGTTGTGTCTTAATAGAAGCACACAAAAAGGAGAACCTGGTTTTGGAAAAAAGATGAGCTTTCTGGCCTTAGTTTCTTTAGGACCCTGCTAGCTGTAAATTACTCATTTTACAGCCTGTTTACCCTTAAGTTATGCATTTAATGGCGTGTACCTACACCTTTTTGAGTGCCACGCACTGGTCTTTCTGAGGTGTGGTACAAATCTGAACTTGCTGCATTAAAAGTGTACTTCCTTTATGTGCCTCTCACTTCTATGCATATACTTAAACACCATATAGACAAGATTTGGGAAAGTTGAATTTATACGGACTTTATTTGGTAATACGTGTACTTGTTTGGAAGACATGTCTATTAAAATGGCCTGTGCTTGGATTTCTTAAATCACTAACTGACACATGCAGATGTAATGCTGCGTGACTGTAACGGAAGCATGCTCACCACTCCCATTCCTCCTACAGATGCAGGACGGCTGGAAGGCATGTCGACGAGTCTCTGTTCCCTGCCGCCAACACTCAGGAGCACTTACCATGCCTGATTAAAAAGAAAGTAAGTACGGAGTCGGTATAGACCAGGGGTCGGCAAACTGCGGCTTGCGAGCCACATGCAGCTCTTTGGGTACATTCCATCTCAAAAGTTTGCCATGGAAGAGCCAATCCTGTTTCTCACAACAACTTAAAAATTATTCGAGAGCCATAAATATATTTTTACATAATCACCATTATGTGAATAATATCCTTTAAAAATGTTATAAATGAAACCATGATAGTTTTATTTTCAGTTTTACTTCAGAGCCTGTGGCTTGCGAGCCGCAGTTTGCTGACCCCTGGCGGCTCTTCCGTCTCAAGTTTGCTGACCCCTGGTATAGACAGTGGCGATTGTGAATTTATTCATTCCTTTTTTGTTCCTAGAAAATAAAACTTACAAATATATTCGACTTGTTTTAAGTATCGCTCATTGATAATACTGTTCTTTTCACATATATTCATCATTTAGTGAGTTAGAGATTATTTTATCCTATGAATGCTCATGTAACTTGCAAGAAATGGAAAGGGTTGTGGCTGGCGAAGATAAAACGAAAAGTTGCCCAGAGGATAGCCAATACTTGGGTGCTCCTGCAGTTACTTCTGATGCAGGTTGCTAAGTCTGTGATGAAATGCCTGTGTTTAGCTGGGAAATCTCGAAATTGGACACACAGGTATCCAAGCATGTAAAATTATTTACAGAAAATCTGCTGACAAAGAAAAGACACTGTTTTCATTTGAGATCTAATACACATTTGGGCTCTTTAGGTTTTTATTTACTTCAAAGTCTTAATTGCGAGTTTATTTGAGAGTCAACTAGTTTACTATGAAATGTCAGCAAGTCACTGTGTTCACGTGAGAGTCTGTACTGGAGAGAAAATTTGCAGGCTTTCTCCACACTGAGTCAGACAGACTAGAGCCGTACATTTCCTGTAGATTACAGAAGTAATTTCCTGTGGACGTTTCCAGAGTTTCTGCCTGTAGTAAATCAGGTGTCTTCATTACCTTTCATCTCAGACAAGCCGGAATTTGCCTGTGCTCTGGTGGGTGAACTTCAGGCCCCTCCAGGTCTCCTCATCTGATCGCGGGTGAAATAGAGCACTCAACTGGCTCTCGGCTCTTCTCTAATATGCTAAACAATAGCTGTGTCTGTCGTTTTAAAAATAAAGTACTTATTTTAAACACTTCAGGAGCACAAGCATATTTTCATTGTAGAATTTTTAGCAAACACCTTGTAAAATATACAGCAAACATGTCCCTTGAGTTCCCTTTCCTTAAAATAAGCAGTTTTCAGTTTGACTTGGTTCCTTGTGGATTGGAAGGTCGGTACACGTGTGTACATGTACACACATTTTACACGAATGAGATTCTACATTACGTGTGTTGTTAGGTAGGTTGCTTTTCCTCCTTCAGCAATGTGCTTTTGACTATTTTATGTCTGTCTGTATAAGTCTGCTTCGTTTTTCTGCAGTGGATTATATAGCGTGAATGTGCCCTTCTTGGGATTCATGTACCCTTAGACCATTGTTGGTTTTTACTAAGCAAGCACACTGTGTGTGTGTGTGTGTGTGTGTGTGTGTGTGTGTGTGTGTGTGTGTGTGTGAGAGAGACGTATTTGAGTTTCTCCAAGTGGAATATCTAGAAATGAAATTACTGGGTCAAAGTGTGTATGCATTTTGGTTTTTACAGTTCCATTAACATTGTACAAGATAACATCCAGCCCTGATCAGAGTGTCAAGGATATGTAATTAATCTTTTTAGTTTTTCCTCATCCGAAGCATCAATAATGTCTGCTCACACACTTTACTTTCTACTCACGCCTAAAAGCATTCCCTTTTCCAAATGCAAGCACAGTTTGAACCTAACTCCAGACCTTATTGTTTTGGGTTGAGAAGGTTGTCTGCTTTGCTCTCCCTCACTTGTGCTGCTGCCAGCCTGACCGTCTTGCCTGCTGTTCTTCCAACATGCCATGTGTGTGTGTCCTCCGAGCCATCCCATTATGTTCCCTCTGAAACACGCTCCCCTCAGGCTCCACCCACACGACCAGCTTCTGACTCCCGACTTCCATAGGACTTCGGTAGTTATAGCACAACTGCTTTTGTGTTTTATTACTATGTCGTGATTTCTTGTGTGGCAGGGAGATAACATGAGAGTAGCAAAAATAAGGAAAAGGAGACTAATTTTGTTTAAGGACTTTCATGGAAACCAAAAATGCTGGGACACTGAAAATGCCTCAGAAAACATAGCTACTTGTACAGCCAGCCCTATATTCAGTCTTAAAATTCTGTCTATATTTTTATAGTTTCATAAAAAGAAATAAATATCACCAGTGCATGTAGAGTGGAAAAAAGACCTCTTTCGGAAGGTTTGATTATTAATGTTAACAAAGATACCGAAATGTATGTAAAAGGGTTCTTTTCCTGTTTTGCACAGTATTGTATTGCTAATTTTTATGTTCTTTTTTGCACAGCATAAGTGTATGCAGCCCAAAGATTTTGTTCCTAAAACACCAGAAAATAGTAAGAGACTTCAAAAGAAATTTGAGAAAATGGCTAAAGAGCTACAAATGCAAAAAACGACAGTAG